ATGCACAATCCTATGCCCCGGACACAAATTCTCAAAATAAGATCTTTAACGATCAAATAATTGAACCACAACCTTTATCGAACAATTGGTCCTACCTAACACACCTCGTCACCCGAGACAAATCATTTGAATCCACACTGTCACGCCGACACATCGCGCAATACCGTACTCTCACTGTTATTGATAAATCGAAACAATCAGAGACCTTTGACTAGATATCGTGCTAAAGAGGGAGTAATTCAGGAGAAATGGTTGGCCAAGCCATTCTCATCATCAATCTGATCTCAACACAGACGTCGTTCCTGTCTTCTGGTCTAAACCTCAAACACAGCCCCACACAGTCCACAAAACAACCATGAGATCCACTCTCTAATCAATCCATCGCTCTACATAACCTCAACAACTATACAGTCACACCAGCTTTAAAATTTGATGATACCTCAATCACACAACCTATAAAAAGCTAAAAATAATACGACACCAAGCACCATAATCATCGACCAACGCATAAGATCTATGATCTCTTCATAGAACCCATACCATGTAAACAACTCCCTAAAATCACTCGTTTCAATTCTTACTTCTTTAGAACACACAATGTGACTATCTCATACCTGAGATCTCAAAACCAAATTCAATCACCCATATTATTCCTCAATGGAATCACACATTCATCTTCTCTAATCATGTAATTCTAAGGCGACATCAACACTTATCCTGAAGACATTGCTCAAATCAAATGCCTATAAGAACATCCGAATGCATAACTCACATCATATCATTTAATCATCCTTAAACTCCTAGTTCATAACGTATCCCCTAACCATCACCGCTAGTACTAGACACCTAAAACATACAATCACCATTCGACAACTCGTGCCTCACACACCACCGGTCAAGACCACTCTCAGAACAAGCACTACAAAAACCAAAGACTACACCTCCCTCCGTGGTAGTGAATCGACTCATTCAACCAAACCTTTACCGGTGAACACTAATAGTATAACAAACCACACACAGGTCAGCCCATCCGCGGACGCGTACAACTCCTAGATGGAGGACATGACATACGACAAATGACGTCCTTGTTAGTACCAAAAAAATGGAAGGGTAATGAACCCCGCACTCACCAGAGATTGACAACTCGTACTCGAATGCACACGACACCCTATCACACGTTATTCACCAATCGTCCAACCATGGACACCCAATCTCACTTGAGATGAACCAAACTCCTTACACATCAGGAGAAAAACCAACCGGATACACATACAAAACTATAAACTCAAATCTAGGCGATCTCGCCACTAACAGACCGTCATACACTATCAACACTGGAACCTCGCACATAAAATGCTAAAATGCTAATGCAGAAAGAACTAAACCCAACATACAATACATGCACACCTAGTGCTAAGAATGCCATGCACAAATAAAATAAAATAAAATAATACAATATAGAATGAAATAAAACAAATACTTTCACATAAGGACATCAACACACGCAACGTAGCAATGCTAGGAAGTAACTAATACAACCCAGGATATCGCATCCTACTCAATCTAAGGAGAAGTCCCTCTCAACCTCTAACACGTGAGAAGGATGACCTACCGTTAATCCATGCCACTACAGCTCCCCAAGGTAACCTCAACTCCTACACAGTGCACAAACGTTATGATATTCGTCACCACAACCTACCGACTCCTCATAAGGAGTGGTGCTCCTATGTGGCAACACCATCCTAACCAAGTCTAAGAGAAAATGGCAAGCTATAAATGTCACCACAATGTTAAACAACGTCCCAAACCCACCATGGCCAACAACCAATCACTACTTCCTACCCCAATACTGGGGTCACCCCTAAACTGACCTACTCTTCAATACAAGAACCTCAAGTTCTAACACCCTTATGATCGTCCTTCCCAAAATAACTGCATAAACTCCAATCCACTGGAAATAACGAGCCTCCAACAACCAACCTCTCCCTCTAAAGTGATGCTAACTTGATATGAAAACACACATCACTCATGATACCCAACACCATTGTCAATAACCCGCTACAAGAATAAGAATCATACGTGGCATGCTACAGAAACAGTCCCTAAGAGGGAAACATACACCACGTCCAAATGGTTAACCACATAAACTACACTCCACAGCGACTACAACACAATGGTCTCCCATTGGTATTTAACTGGACACTCGAGTTATACCTCCAACTAACCTATCCGACCAAATAAAAGGTCAAACAACTCCTATGCCCCTATCACTATCATTTCCTAACCAATCGCCATGACTACCATCCAACACAATGGGATGTCCACATCAATTTCATCTGAGTTGTGTGCCTGCAACTCGCCTAATGTGGTAGCCTTCTGGTGCCCCTGCACATGCTCACACACACCCGCACACAAGGCACAAAACAAAGAAATCAAATAGAACAGGCCACCAAGCCTAAAAGGTCACTCCTCATCCTGGCTCAACACAATCTGTGACCAATACTTTATGGTCACCAAACAACATCACATTAAGCTTCTACCTTCCTCATTGGAAATCAAAACAAAAGGTGCAACCTACCCATCTCATCGCCAACTCAAGGTCAACCACTACTCTTACTCCCAAAACGGCAATCTAAGAGACAAACTCGCGACCTTAAACATTAGTGAACCACTAATGAAAATCCATACGCTAATTATGTTCAACCGGCACAACACCTGTACCTTACAAGTCATACACCGCATATACCACTTCACATCACATGACATCTAATTAACTCTGCTCGCATGAAAAGAACCCATGACTCACACACCATACCCTACTAGTCCATCATCCTAAGAGTCTACTCACTATACCGAGGAAACACAACACAAACTCTCACCCGTGCAAGAAAGTGAGGATCTCTGCCATAGAAGGAACCTAAGATCAAACCATTTCACTTTTACTAGTCTCTAGGGAAAAAACTCATAATGGAACAACACGTCCAATTGAAACCGGACTCAAAAGATTGTGCTATTCACATCACCCCTGTTCACAACGCTGATACCTTTACTAGTCATAGGTGACAACTCACAGAACTAATACGACATAGGAACGCGCCTACTATATAATTACATATTGAAAACATAACACCTACTCATGGATTATTTTAGTCAGTGTGACACACATATAACACAAAACACATAGTGCATGATTCTCATACTCAATTAATTATCATCTTAACACATATGGCATGCTTGTACTACAATAAATAACTTAGCAAATAAGCACATAATCTGGTAAGTATACCCATATATATGATATGCAACTCAATTAATAAACACCTTATCATTTCAGTATGCTTTAAATTTTTTTTTTTTTTTTTAACCATGGCATTAATCTCGTAAATATTATCACTTATCATGAAATAATAAAGCATGCTTTAACTCAACAAGTAATTAACACATAACTAGGTAAATAAGTAAGCAATTAGGCATGTTTCTTAAAACAAATTTTAACACTTAGCACATAAGCATATAAACATGCAATTCAACTTCCCATGAAATCCTAGGTAGGCCTCCACCCGTCATCCTAATGATATTCAAACCATTGCTCTGATATCAAATTTATAATGACACGAACCGGGGGTCCGAATCGCTAACCGGGCCCTTAACCAAACCCAATGACACACTAGGGGTAAAATGGTTATTTTACAATATAAAAGGATAATCTACCCTTAAACTAGTCAAATGAAGTTTAAAACAATCATTCTAATCATTCCATGATGTTCGAAAAAGTTCTACGGTCATCGGTTATGAATTTCCAAAAGTACCCTTACTCGGTTCAAGGGAAATTCCGACACTACTCCACTAAAACAACCATAACTCTCAACATAAATGGAATTTGAAGATGAGGTTGGTCTCATTAGAAAACTAACTCGAAATCCTTGAAAATGAACTTAAGAATGAGCTAATTTGGATTCAAAACAAAGAAGTTATGACCGCCCGAAGTTACATGATCCAAGTTGTCAAACTGAGAAAGCCAAAAGGGTGCACTGGGGGACTTAAACCGGTTCAATGGGGCTAATCTAGTTCAAGATGACCAAAATCCTGAAAATGCACCAGAAAGCTTAAAATTTTGAACTTGTGCATATAGACACTCCTTTGGTCCCTTTGTGACCTTACTTAAAGTCTAAACCTGTCCCAAAACTTTCATTTGATGGTGAAATTAATACAACTAGGTGACATTACATTCAAATAAAACCATACATGAGTCCATTATGCCATTTAAAGTTAATAACTCTGTCATACATCAAAATATAGCCTTAAGGCCTTACATGAGTTTTGGAATTTTAATTAGACTGTGAGATACAAAATTGCACCTAATACAATTTATAACAAAAGGGTAATATACACATCAAGCACCAAAGAAGTTCAAGTCTCTTTCAACTCGACTAAGCTTAACTAAGCTTGTGGTGGATTGTCATCCACCACTTCATTTCCATGTCCTGAAAAATGTAGAGGACTGAGCACAAGGCCCAGTAGAGATTGCCTAAAGGGCATCTCCTAAAATTAAGTAGACGAAATGCATGCTTAGCACTACAACAGTTATGACTTTTACTAGCGCTCAAAAATGCTGCTAAAAGTCCCAAAAAACGCTGGTAATTCAATTACCAGCGTTTTACCAACGCTTTTGAAAAAGTGCTGGTAAATCTAGCGTCGGTAGGGCTTTACCAGCGCTTTTTGAGAAGCGCTGGTATAAACCCTTTACAAGCGCTTCTTAAAGAAGCGCTGGTAAAAGGTCATTTTCTATTTTTTTTTTTTTCCCCCTCTTTGCCAGCACTTAAGAAGCGCTGGTAAAGGGACATTTTTATTTATTTATTTATTTTTGCCCTTTATTGTTTTGAAAAATGTCTTGGTTGCTAAATGTCATCCAATATAACATAAGTTGGCAATATAAAAGTACCATCCAAATTGTTTTTATATATTACAACCATAAGCTAGCCTACTGCCAATATGAAAAATACCATCGAAATTGTCTACTAATAGATAAAGCTAGTAAATGTCAACCAAAACTCAAAAAATGTTTACTAATACAACCACAAGTTAACCGGCCAATATGAAAATACCATCCAAATTGTCTAGATCTAGTAAATGTGACAAAAAAAGAATTAAGAATTTTTGACAAATGTAGTACAATTTTTTCAAAAAGAACCCATCCAAGGCGAAGGAAATGCTGAAAGCACAGCCACAACCCCATCTTCATCTTCAACTTCAACTTTAACAACTCTTCTTGCCCATTTGATTTGAATTACCCTACATTTTTTATAAATTCATTAAGCGCACATTATAATAAATGAAAATTTAACATATAAGAGAAATTAAAGTTCATAACCTTAACTGAATTGGCATCATGACTAGAAAATCAATATATACAACAGAAGAACATGCACAAAACCTTTTACATACTAAATTATATATAAGACAGTAATTTCCGAGTTATGCTAAACTGCTATAAGAAATACTAGCAGCAAAGTCATGTTCGTTAGAACCTAAGAATAATCACTCATATGAAGAGAATTTAGGAGATAAACAACGTGTGTGTGTGATAGATTTTCTAATAGTAACAATATGAAACAAGATTTCCCTAAAAGAATGATAATGTGGCGAATCATAGCATTTACAATAATAATTCTCCAAAGGATTAAAATTAGTTGTGGAAACTATAATTATTATTAATTTTGCAAATAATCTATAGTAATTAGTGATTTGAAGAGACAATGCATGTTTTGTATTTTGTTTTTGTCTGGATCTGCTATTTATCAACTATGGTGAGTCACTGGTTTCCTAAAAAAAAGGCAGAACTTGTTACTACAACCTAGATGATAGAACAAAAACCTTTTTTTATAACTGATTCATTAAAAATCTGATTTTCAAATTACTATAATAAAAATTTGTACTCTTATAAGGTTTAAGTAAAACTGTTAGGAGTAGTAAAACATATTTCTATTTAAAATGATGTAGTTCAGGCCGAGCTCTAAAGATGCATCCATCTGGATTATCTAAGGCATTCTCCTTAAATGCATATAACGTATTATATAAATTTATCAACTTTAGCCTAGACATGTTTGAGATGTAAAAAGACGGTATAATAAGATAGAAAGAAGTACCAAACTGGACACATCTTCCTCTGTCCCACTGTCATTTTCCACAGGATCTAATGGGAGTTCTCCACTATTTGATTCAATCTTCTTGATAAACTTTGTTGAGTACAATATCACCCCAAATCTTGGAGGAAAACTATTCTTGTACAAAGAAATAATCGTGTCAATTGTTTGCAAAAGATAAACTAAAATTAGATAAGTAATTCTGGCAACAGTATAATGCACATACAACGAACTGACGTCACTTTTTGCACAATAAAACTTGCCTCAAGTCCACAAATGGATGCAGGATCCACAACAAAAACTGTATGGAACAAGTTCTTACGAATATAACATAGTTGCCCAGGGAATACCGGCATCAAAATCTATAACACCAAAGTAAAAAAATAGAAATGCTTTTTTCAAAAGAATGCAAATTAGTGCATGAAGCCGTCTAAAGTAAATAATAGAATTGAATACATCCTTGTGAAAGATAAACACACCTCATTTATATTACTACGCCAACGATTTTACATTGCATCCACCTCCAAAACCACCATTGGTTATCAAAACACGAAAGCTCTACTATGAAGATGTATTTTACTCATAAGAGTTTAGTGTATCTAAGTTACTACATTATATTTTTAGTATCTAAAAATGCAAAAAGATCCTTTTGCGGTGTTATCTACAAAACTAAAAACCCTACATCCATATGATTAGTAATGTATAACACCAAGATCATTCGAAGAAAACCTAGTACCAGCTACACAAAAAGATGGGGCAATTCTCTTTGCTAGAATCTTCTGGTAACTTTCACAGTTGATGTTCTTACTAGAATGTTGTGAGGGTAGAACAATTGGAGCTTGTATAACACCCCAATATACAAATATAAAATATTAGTTTCTTTCTTTTAGTAAGGGTTCTATAATCCCATTTCTGAATTGTTTGTGTTTGTGTTTGGGGTATAAAGATAAAACCAAAGTATTCCGAGGAAAGTTACTAGCTCCTTAGGTTGTGATATTTGAGGTTGGCTGCTTAAGTATCTTGGTCTTCCTTTGAGAGTGAAGAGGAAAAAGTCTTTTGGGGTCCAGCAGCGGAAAAGGTGCCAAGTATTTAGAAGGGTGGAAGAAGGTATACATTTAATTGGGAATAAAATCACTGTAATCTAGATCTCTTACTAGCATATCCCTACCTACCTTAATTTACAATTACTTAACTCTTGCAACCAAACTAGAAAGCCTTCAAAGAAAGGAGTAGGAGAGCATACTAGGTGTCATGAAGGTTCACAAAAAGAACAATACTTTCACTTAAGGCCAGTCATAGTGGGTATGCTTTTAAGGCTGAAATTTATCTTTGTTAGAAGGTACTTAAGAAGCTCAAGTGTTGGGATTAATCAATCTTTGTGTTCTAGATGGTTTGTCCTTTACAGAGCAGGTGATAAACTGCAATCAGGATTTAAGAGGAAAAGTCTTCTCAATGCACAAATTTTGTTAGAACTTCATAATATCATATGTTGTCACTGTATCTTACTTATCAAAAGAAAAATATTCTGTCACTGTATCCTATGTGCTAGTCACAATCGATAATCAGCATAATTAAAAATTAAAAATTAAACAATTTTTCATCATAGTTAAGAAATTTTGACCTTACACAAGTCACTTGTCTTTCTAATTTTCTTAAACTGGGATGAGATTTCTTAGAACATTTTGTTTGGAATCAAATTGCTCACATTTGGATTAGACTTAATACTTTTCATAGCCCACTAGCAAACAGTATTAGGATTAAATCTGCTGCTTATAACCAAGTAAGATTTCATATTCTTATATTTAATTTTCCCATTGTGAGGTTGGGGTTGTATAGACCAAGTAATATGTATATATAAAGACAGGGAGAGAGGGAGATACAAGATGAAGACATGGCGTATGATGATGAAACGACATTTTGTAGTTTCTTCATAATTTATTTTCAGACAAGAAGATTCTCCTACTCGGAAAACAATAGCAATTATAGGTCACAAGTCACAACTATGTTTCACTAAAATGTGATACAGAATATTTAGATAGTAAAAAATTCAAATTTTTTCAGATAAAGCATCAGCAATTTAAGTAGTAATAAAAACAACTAAAGCATCAAAGCCACTGTAACGTGGTATCACAATTTGGGTAAAAGTAAAGTGACTTTTTTAAGAACAAACAAACCAGAATTTTAGAGAATATGAACCCTCTAACTTCTTGACTAAGATCTTCAATGTGAGGATCTTTAAGAGTGACACCTGCACCACATACATCATTTTCTTAAAGAAACTAATCTTAATGAAAAACCCAGTAGTACAAAATGGAAGTGCCTTACTTCTATGGCAATATAACAGTTCAGAAAACCCAAAAAAGTTATATAACATTCCTTATCCATAAACCAAACTAAAAATTAGAATAAAAGAAAGCTAAAACAGAATTGCAGAAATTAAAAAAAAAAAAAAAAAAAAAAAACCTCCACCTCAAACATTGGTCATACAGAAAAAGGTATGCTAGTACTAACTCATTTTAACAGCAAGAATGCAAAAATTACCTGCAAAACGTATGTAATAAACCAAGAAAAATAGAATATCTCATCTTTTAGACCCATCATGTACTGACCCTCTTTTATTTTCTGCTCCCGAAGTATTAGAATAAAAAATGAGCTCAGCCCAAAAGTTTTTATAAGCAAGGACTACTCCAATTTTGATATTTCAGAGATGAGAAAGACATCAATGTATGCAAAAATGTACAAAAATAAAATAGACTAGGAACATTATGAGTCCATGATTAATAATGTATTAAACCCATTACCAAACCTTCTCGAACATAGAATAGCTTGCGCATAAAAAATAATGAATTTAATAAAATTAAAAATAAAATAAAAACTCGAGAGATTATTTGGTGATAGATACAACATGGGCAATAATGAATTTTAAAAAATAAATGATACATACGGCAACCCCATGGGTAATTCTTCCACAATTAGAAATATATATATATATATATATATATATTTAAAAGTCTAAATCAAAATGTCCAATGAACATAATCATCAACATAACACCAAGATAGAGATTTTTGGACACAATTACAACAAACAAGAACATACCTGAATGAAAATAAAAAGAATCCCCAAGAAATAGAGAAGTGTAGCTGTAATCTAAACCACGGGGACGGCGAACTCGACGAGGCCGAGCTAGACGTCGAATTCCATCAACGGAAACTGGTAATCAATGCTGGTGAGATGAGCAAAGAGATTGTGAAAATTCACAAAGATTATGAGAGCTAAGCCTATAAGTAGAAGAACCAAACTCGATTTCGGCTCGCTGGAGAGCTGAGCCGCGAAGCCACAGAGAATAACAATGGTGGCGAACACGTATAGGCCGGCGTTCATGTACTCGAACCTGTTTTAAGCCAGCTGGGGTCCGTATATCCGACTCTCTCGGGCCGATACAAGCTTCACCATTCTGTTCAATCAAGACTAGTATGGTACAGGTACGTAGAGAGAGAAAGTGAGAGAAGTGACAGAGAGATTGGAGGTAGAGTTGCTAAGAGAGATGGGTGGTTGAGGGGGAAGGGCACGAGTCATCAAGATTAGGGAATTGTATAGAGAGAGGGGGGCGCAAGTTCAGAGTTGAGACCGAGAATAGAGATGGAGGCAATTGGGGAGTTGCAGAGAGAGAGATTGGGGCGATTGGGGAGTTGCAGAGAGAGAGGGGGGCAACTTTAGAGTTGAGACCTAGAATAGAGAAGGAGACGATTGGGGAGGCTGAAGAGAAGCAAGGGCTCGGATGAAATTGGTAAAGTTAGAAATAAAGTGAAATAATATTAAAGCGCCAAATTTTCCCGCACTACATTTCGCACTTACCAGCGTTTGTTTAAAAAACATTGGTAATTAGTACTCAACACCAGCTCTTTTTTTAGAAACGCTGGTGTTGATAGTACTCAACCCCAACGCTTTTTAATGAAGCGCTGGTAATTAGTACTCAACACTAGCACTTTTGTAGAAGTGCTAGTAATTAGTACTCAACACCAGCACTTTTTTAGAAGCGCTGGTAATTAGTACTCAACAAAAAGCACTAGTAAAACCCTCATATGTTGTAGTGTAGACACATCCATGAATAGTGTAAGAGAATAGGGATCATGATGGGATCACACATCATCAATAATTAACAAGTAATCCACTATCAACCATTTAAAATAATACAATGCATGAAATGGCTTATGCAATGCATGAAATGGCTTATGCAATGCATTCCACACACATACTCTCACACACCCAATCCACATACCAAAAATGTACTAAAGTTAGACTTTGGTACCCCCGCCGTCCATAGGGAGAATTTGCTAGTCGTCCTTGGCATAGGGTGACTCCCAACTACCATTTGGGGCCCGAGGTAGCTAAATTACTCACGGGTACCTCCCGTATCCCTATTAGCTAGCTAGCTAGCACTGCCGATAGAAGGGGATACCTCCCCAAAACTGGGTTTTGGAAAACCTTTCTTCAAACATTTCATTCACATCACCAAAATTTCCCTTCACAGCACACCCAATGCTTAATGCCCATGCAACAATGCTAATGCCATGCTCACAATTATCCCCAAACTTCAATAGTCATCATTGCCCATATATAGCCATAATTTTTACCTCTACATGAATTGTTACACAATCATCAAATTATGAACATACATGGCATTGATAATGATACAATTATTCGACAAGTCAACATATGATCACTAAAACCTCAATAGTATGAATTTTACAATTAAACATTCACATTCGTAATTTTACAAACACATAGCATGCGTGGCATTTCAAGAACACTAAAAATGTCAAATTAATATCAAGTAGCATGCTTGCTCACAATTAGCCACATAGTCCATTCAACAATTGAAATTTCTCATCACATAATCATCATTTAACACATAACTACAAACAAATTATCATATATCATCAATTTAATAAAACCCTAGCATGCTACTACCAAATTGACATCAAATTGGCATGTAAAAATTTGGGAAGAACATGGATTCAACTACAAAATTTAAGGACTATGCAAGTTAGACAATTCTATCTCTTTGAAGACAAAAGCCCTAATTTTTGAAAATCCCAAGGTTGGCCAAATGGTGATTTGCTCTGATCAAAACGAAGAGATCGACAAGCTCTCTAAATTTACCTTAAGTGGCACTATCAAATTCCAAAAGATGAGAAAGAGATCTTGGCTCAAAACTTTGAAGAAAAGAAAAAGAAAAAATGAGAAAAGAGAGGGAGGGAGAGCTTTAACAGGAGAGAGAAAATGAGGCAAATGATGGCCTCTTGGCCATTAAAATGGAAATAATGGTAGGCCCCACCAAAATTAAAATATCCCACCTTTTTCTATATATATATATATATATATATATATATATATATATATAATTCAATTTCCAACCACAAAATTTTTAAGTCACAAAATGTAAGTAGGCACAAAATAATTTTGCATGAATGCAGTAGACCTGAGGCACAACCTCCCGTACATAACAATTTCGGTAGTGAGTTCCACCCGAAACTGTCCGACCTAAAAATTAAAAAAAAAATGTCAAAATGGGAACCAGTGCATTTCCAAGAGTCCTGAACTCAATGGAATGCCCCGACCAACTCTCAGACATACCTAGCACACCCCACGGTGTCCGGCATGCAAAACGAGAAAAGACAAAAATACCCTAAAAAAAAATCAAAAAATTCTACAAAATGGAATCGAAAAATGATAAAAATTGGAAACATTACATGTTGAGTAAAGCTTGTAAAACACATGCAAATGTATAGTGTGTTGATTCCTAAAGAGAATCCAATTATACATCACCGTACATCGGTGTTGTTCAGTGTGGGATTTGAACCCACACCTTTTAAACTATTGTTCACCTTAGCAATAGTGTGCGGGTGACAAAAAAAAAAAATCCCACCTCAGGAACAATACCTGAAAGTACTATTCACATCGGGAATAATGTTCGGGGTTAAAATAAATAAATAAATAAAAGTTTATATTTTTTAGTCCATTCTGAACCTGGAAATAGGGGGCAACTGATGGGGAAAAAAATAACACTATATTGACCAGCCACTAGTTCTCGTCAACTTGCTGAGGACAATGATGTCGTCATTCGATTCATGAAAATAAATAAAATATGTTATTAATGATAGAACAAATCTCAACCATCCACAACTGCTCAACGAACTCGGTTAATGATGAAAGAGATCATAACTATCGACATCGGTTGAACCAACTTGATCCCATTAAAGAAGGTATGAGAAAAAACTCAATGGACATTTAATACATAATGACTTTTCTATTATACGATTCCAATCACTGACTTGATCGTCGGAGGGTACTCGGCAGGTTGTGCCATTCGATGTTACATAATTTCTATTATTTTACAGGTAAACGCCGTCGTTCCGAAATGCCAGGATTTTTGCATCAACAATTAGTATAAAAACCTTTTGAAGACTGTGTTTACTCGATATATGGATCACCACGAGAGGTAAGAGGAAGTGGTTGGTCCAATAGGCTTGAATACTAACCAGTATAGACTTGATAAGTTGTAAACGACCAACGTATGATAGAAATCTGAACTCACGCTGGCTGTAATTCTCTCCACCAATGCCTCATCTGTAGTCATTTGCTCTCAGTCTAGAAGATACAAGAGGTAGTCCAAGGTAGCTAAGTAATAGAGAGTTGTCCTGCTTTGACTTATAAGAAAAAAAAAAAGAAAAAAGAAAAAAAAGGGAGTTGTTCTGCTCTGTGCCTCAACTTGTGGAGGATATTAGAAGTAAATATAAGGCACTTGGAGAGGTTAGGGTAAATGCCTAAAAGAGATGTGAATGTAAAGCCTTGGTAAGCACCGAATTAGAGAGAAAATCCCATGTGGATAAACATTATCAAATCATCAGCAAATGCCAAATGAGAAACTTTGCTCTTCTTACACCTCCAACGAAATTGGAAGGTTAGGGTTGGTGTCAATATACATGGTAACAATAGAGGGCAAAACATCCATTATGATTACAAAGAGGGATGGGCAAATAGGGTCAATTTTAAATAAATAACATATATATTTCATAACAATACAACACCCAAATCATTAGCTTCAAATCAAATTATATTATTTTACATATTTAAGTAGAACACAATTATATATATATAGGGCAAAGTACAGAAAACCCCCCTCGACTTGTAACTTTTTCTTAGTAAACCCCCTTCGTCTAATTTTTTACCAAAGAACCTCCCCTCGACTTGTAACCCTTTCCAATAAATGCCCCTTATCTAATTTTTTACCAAAGAACCCCCCTCAACTATCTAAAGGGGGTAAAAAAGTTTATATTTGGACTAAAATGCCTTTTTATTTAAATTTAAATTTTCTCAAATTTCAAAAATTAATATCTCACAAACTGTACATCCAAATATTGTAAATAATATATGAACGGAAAGCTTATAAAACAAGGGTTCCAGAAATATAAGACTTGTTTAACAAAATTTTATAACCAGAGAGAAATAAACAATCTAAAAAACTACTGTAACAATCTTATTTATTTTATTTTTTTATAAAATACTCGGGTTATTTGCAAGAAAATTTTTAAAATTATTAATTTTCATATAGAGCATAACATATAAAAAAATTAGCCCTAATAGAGACCGAATATTTGGTGTGTCTCGTACCAGTTGCACCTAAAGTGTGTAGTGTGGCCAAGTTTGAATTTATAGAATGCCACTACCACTACTAACTATTAATGTAGCTAGAGTGAGTAGGGATCGTCCTAAGGGAAAGGAGTAGTATTGTTGTTGAAACAATGTTAGATTAGTAGGTCGAGTGATAAAAAATGGTTTGTGGTTGGATTAAACTACAATTTAAACTAAACAAATGCAATATAAAACAACTAAATTAAGTAAAGTGTAGAGAATAAGAGAGAGGAGTCTTGGGTCATAGAGTTCACCACTTAGCATAACCTTCCTAAACATTCAATATTTGATGGATTAGGGGGAATATGTGTTGTAAATGAAAGTGTGTGCCATTGATTGAATTATTAGCATGGATGGATATGTAAGCATATATTGTCTAGCCAATCTAGTGAATAGCACAACATATCAAATTAAGTCATTAATCATTTCATAAGCCCACAATCAATGCACACTCAACAAATTAGTGAAATATACTACTTGTATTCATAAGCATGGAACATCAAACAACAAGAATGGATTATCAACCTATCTAAGAAAGTAAAGCAACTATACTACAACTAAACTAGTGACATGAAGATTAAACTAATTAAACTAAGGAGGTGGCACAATCTATCAAGAAATAAGTATGAACCATCAAATAAACCACAAAAGTATTCCATTTAAGCACCATGCCTTGATCATCACTAGATTCATAATATCAACACACATAGACATGCATCAATGTAACAAAATCTAGAGATAAATATATAAACATCTATTCTAGCATACATAGACATATGAATAGAATTAAATGATTAATTAGAAGTATTAAACTACACAAATCATTGTAGAAACAAGATTTATATATATCAAAGGTCAAGACAAGAATTACAACACTAATCCCCATTAATTATAAAACATCAATGTCTTGGAGGCATGCTTAAGGCTAACTTTAGCCCCAAGAGATGGTTTAGCCACTCATTGATGTTGTCATCTAACCCTCAAAGGCTATCTCCATGGTAGAGCTCTTCTTCCTCCTTGGTAAAAACCCTAGATGAGAGGAAGAACTTTTCCAATTTGTGTATTCTCTCCCTAAT